GAAGACCTGAACAGACATTTCTGCAAAGAAGACATCCAAATGGCCAAGAGACACATGAAAAAGTATTCAATATCACTTGACATCAGGGAAATACAAATCAAAACCACAGTGAGATACCACCTCACATCAGTCAGAATGGCTAAATTTAACAAGTCAGGAAATGACAGGTGTTGGCAAGAATGCAGAGAAGCGGGGTGGGGGGTACTCCTGGGTGGCTCAGTGGGTTGAGCCTCTACCTTCGGCTCAGGTCATGCTCTTAGGGTCCTGGGATCGAGCCCCGTATCTCTGCTCGGCAGGGGACCTGCTTCCCCCCAACCCCTCTGCCTGCCTCTCTGCCTATTTGTGATCTCTCTCTGTCAAAATAAATAAATAAAATCTTAAAAAAAAAAAGAAGAAGAAGAATGCAGAGAAAGGGGAACCCTCCTATACTGTTGGTGGGAATACAGCCTGGTGTAGCCGCTCTGGAAAACAGTATGGAGGTCCCTTAGAAAATTGGAAACAGCTACCCTACGACCCAGCAATTGCACTACTGGGTATTTACCCTAACAATACAAATGCAGTAATCTGAAGGAGCATGTGCACCCCAATCTTTAAAGCAGCAGTGTCTACAATAGCCAAACTATGGAAAGTGCCTAGATGTCCATCAGCAGATGAATGGATATAGAAGAGGTAGTATATATATAAAGTGGAATATTATGCAGCCATCAAAAAAATGAAATCTTGCCATTTGCAATGACCTGGATGAAACTAGAGGTTATTACGCTAAATGAAAAAGGTCAGTCAGAGAAAGGTAATTACCATTATCATCTCACTGATATGAGGAATTTGAGAAACAAGACAGAGGATCATAGAGGAAGGGAGGGGAAAATGAGACAAGATGAAACCAGAGAGGGAGACAAACCAGAAGAGACTCTTAATCTCAGGAAACAAACTGAGGGTTCTTGGAGTGGAGGGGGTAGGAGGGATGGGGTGGCTGGGTGATTGGGGAGGGTATGTGCTAAATGGTGAGTGCTGTGAATTGTGTAAGACCGATGAATCACAGACCTATATCCCTGAAACAAATAATAAATTATATGTTAATTTTTAAAAAGTGAAAAGAAAAAAATAAAATTCCCTCTCTCTCTGCTCCTTCCCTTCTCTCTTTCTCAAATAAATAAATTTTAAAATATGTAAGCATTATAGAAAATTTAGAATATTAGTGGGGGGAACCCTGCATATATTTGTAATCTTTCTGCCTGTGCAACCACTTTGTGGTTCTATCATGTTTTTTTTCCTATATATGGCTTATTACAGTGATTGCAGTGATTCCATACGTATTTTTTATATATGATATGTATTTCTGGCTCTATACAATTTTGATGATTGCTCTTATTTTATACTTCTCCCATTTTAAGCAAAACATTTTTGTATATGTCAGGCATCATTATAGGGTTCCAAATTCTTCATTAGAGTCACTGTAGACTTCTTTATATCTCAATTCTGTTGACTTTATCCTGGCAGGAAGCTTTCGAACCCAAACAGAGATATATTTGCTTGGCTATTTAATTTTCCTTTATTTTCCTTTTCTGAGTGTGTTTCCTTCTTCCCATGTCAGGGAAACAGAATGAACTCTCTGTGGCTTTATGGTGCTGATAGTAATAGCTGTCCTTTATATTTCCAATCAGAAGGTAACTTTCTAATTTCTCATTTTAGAGGAAGAGTAAAACATGCCCTTTTATTTTACTTTTTTTCATTTGTAGAGGCAGATATCCACCTAATTTCATGTATTATTGTTAGCTTTTAGTCTAAAGATTGATTTATTTATTTTAGAGGGAGATTGAGAGAGAGGGAGGGAGTGAGTGTGTGAGTAGGAAGGGCAAAGGGAAAAGGAAAGAGAATATTCAGCAGACCTTGTGTTGATCACAGAGCTGGAGGTGGGGCCCAATCTCATGACCCTGAGCTGAAATCAAGAGTCAGTTTCTTAACTGTGCCACACAGGTACCCCTGTTATTGCTTAGCCTTTTTTTTTTTTTTTAAGATTTTATTTATTTGGCAGAGAAAGACACAGAAGGGGAACAGAACCAGGGGGAGTGGGAGAGGGAGAAGCAGACTCCCCACTGAGTAGGGAGCCCGATGTGGGGCTCAATCCTAGGACCCTGGGATAATGACCAGAGCTGAAGGCAGGGGCTTAACAACTGAGCCACCCAGGCGCCCCTGATCCTTAGCTTTTAAAACTATCTTAAATGGGCTCATTTCTGACAGGTATACATGTTATCATATTAAACTTTTTAAAAATAAACAAACTTATTTTGTGAACACCAGAACTGCATTGCCTTCAGAGCTTTTTTTACATGTACAGATTATCATACACTATTACTAGAGAGTTGTTTCCCTGAAAATGTGAAAGGTCCACTTAGCAAAAATCTTTATGACTGCCAGCAGAGGGAGAGAAGAATCTGTTTTAGAGATATCCCAATAGTGTTCTAGGAGTATTCCAAGCATTTTACATTCACAAACAGTTTTCTCTGTTACTCTTAATATTTCTGAGCTTTTGGGGAAAATAATTTCAAGTGAAGAGAGTAACAGTGAAATGTAAGAATATGTTCTAGCCAAGGTATTAAAGGACAAAGTATCTCAATTAGCTCCTGTGGTAACAACATGAGACTGAATTAGGACAGGAAGCTGCTCCTGACACTAAAGTGGAGAATAAGAGAGTGATGGTGCCATGTGAAGTGAAAGAAATGTTTGAATAACTGTCATTATCTCATGCACTTTCCACAAAAACTTTTGGACTAGATACTATATTTCTTTTTTTCATAAGCAGGGGAATTGAGCCCCAGAACAATGAAGTTTCTTGCCAAGAGTTACATGTCAGTTACAAGTGAATTTGGGAATTTAACTATTATTTCACTCCAAATCCTCTGATTTTTGTTTTCCTACACTATACTACTATATTGATCTTAGGGTTGCAAAAATAGTATAATACAGTTTTAAAAGATAGGTAGAAATTTAAAATGGCAAAATCATTTGATACTCAGCCAATGAGTAGATTTTGTTAGAAAGTCTAAAATTGAGATTCAGAGCAAGACTATGCGTTGGAAAAAATCCCTTTTATGTTAGCACTTGAAGGCTACAGAAAAACTGAAACCAAAAGAACCGATTTAACTATATTGAGAGGAGAATCTAAGCACAGTTCCTCATCTGTTATAATAGGAACTCAACAGGTAGTTTTTAAAGACTAAATTGAGAAACAGTCAATTTTTAGGGAAAAATACTGGTTTATAAAACCTATTTCTATATGGAAGTAACCACCAGAAATAATTAAAAGTTGTTTACATCCGGTCATTGAGATTAAGGGGTCAGGGAGAGCTGAGCCTGAGAAGCTGCTCTTTTTCTTTAAAAGCCTGCCTATACAGTTTTAATTTTTATGTATGTACATGTATTATTGTAAAAAAAAAATTAAGATTCATAAAACTTGGAGACAGAGATTTAATGAGATATACTTCCTTGCAAAAGATGGTTAGGACTTAGTAGCAGTACAGAATTACCACTTACATATAAAAGATATTACTAGTGAATGTGTAGTAACTTAAAGAGCCAGACTAGTTCAGTGCTAAACAGACTGCTGCCTCTTTTGTAATAAAAGTGTCTCTGACCTCTTAAAGTGGTTCTGCACAAGGGTGGTTGGTTTAATTGTATAGGACCCAGGATAAGCCACGACTGTACTATCAGTGATAAATCTTTAACTGGAGAAGATTCTAGCTCTTTGATTGTCAAAAGTATCTCTTGAGATAGGGCTCTGTTGTGGCAAATAAAAAGTTACTTTTTTCTTTTCCTTTTTGGGGGCTGTGGGAGAGGAAGTTGGGTGTTGGTTGTACTGCTCCAACTCTGACCTCAGAATAAGCTCCATGCTAACACCTAGGATTTATTTTTTCCTTCATCAGATCATTATAGTATTTTTGGAGGAACTCAGAATAAGATTAACATGTGAATTTAAATAATTTCAAGTAATCTTGAATAGTTAAGATTCTCATTTTAGTTAATGTACCCAGGAAAAAATATAAACCTTTATAAAGTATGTATAAAACCTTTGAGGGACGCCTGGGTGGCTCAGTGAGTTAAGCAGCTGCCTTCAGCTCCAGTCATGATCCCAGAGTCCTGGGATGGAGCCCCGCATCAGGCAGGGGAGCATGTTCTCCCTCTGCCTGCCATTCCTCTGCTCGTTTTCACATGTACGCGTGCTCTCGCTCTCTCTCTCTCTTTCGCTTTCTCTCTGACGAATGAATAAAATCTAAAAAAGTAAAAAAAAAAAAAAAAAAAAAAAAAACCTTTGAAATTTAATAACACTAAACATGTAAGAACATTTTTAAAGTTTTTAAAATCTGGGGTGTCTGAATGACTCAGTCGGTTAAGCATCCGCCTTTGCCTCAGGTCATGATCCCCGGATCCTAGGATCAAGCCCCGCGTTGGGTTCTGCTTGTTGGGAAGTCTGCTCTCTCTCCCTCTGCTTGCTGCTCCACCTGCTTGTACTCTGCCAAATAAATAACATCTTCAAAAAATAAATAAAAAAGGAAAGTTTTAATCTGACAGCTCAGTTCCTTATCTTCACAAGTTATTTCTGAGGATGATTATTTAGGATTCTTTTGTTTTTTTTAAGATTTTGTTTATTTATTTGGCAGATCACAAGCAGGCAGAGAGGCAGGCAGAGAGAGAGGAGGAAGCAGGCTCCCTGCTGAGCAGAGAGCCTGATGCAGGGCTCCATCCCAGAACCCTGAGATCATGACCTGAGCCGAAGGCAGAGGCTTAACCCACTGAGCCACCCAGGCACCCCAATTACTTGGGATTCTTATTGAAGATATAGAATCTAAGATACGTTGAGTTATATTTTAGAACTGCTAACAGGTAACTCAAGGGAGTAGGATTTATATGTTTATGTGTGCAGTCAGTGAGATCTAAAACTTTGAAATTTTTAATATCAAGTTGTCTTGTGTCTTAATGTCTCTAAAAATTATTATTAATAGCTGTGTACGATCGAATGCGAGCAGATCAGAAGAAATTTGGTAAAGCATCATGGGCAGCAGCTGCAGAACGTATGGAAAAACTCCAATACGCGGTTTCTAAGGAGACTCTGCAGATGATGAGAGCAAAGGAGATCTGTTTGGAACAGAGGAAACATGCACTAAAAGAAGAGGTAAAAAAAAAAATAAATAAATAAAAAATACACATAAAATTTAAAAAGATTTGTGATTTGTTTTTTATCTTTGTACAAGAGTGGCGCTTTTCTGACACTGCAGGCAGTTGTTAATTTTGCATTGTCTCCATGAGATGATAACAAGAGTTACCCTCCTAATAAAGGAGTTAGACGTATGAGGTACTCTAACAGCATCACAGTGTGGTTGTAGGCTGCAGTGCACTATTAAAACAAAAAGGAGGTTGACATTAGAATTTTCTTGTTGTTTTTAAATTTTTTTGTACTGTAAGGTTCAGTGCTTTATTAAGAAAATTTCAGTGCGCAGAGAAATACAGAAAAATTTTAAGGCAGTAGAATTTTGTTAGAATTGATTATATCATATTCAAACCATTACCTTTTGGAGCTTCCCATTTTATTCCTGCTGGAACAAAAAACAGGAGAGGTCTGCAGCAGAGGTCCAGTTTTCTTGACTACACTCATTAAAACCTCTTCATGAATACCCCTGCAGAAAGGAATAGTTTTAGAAGTCCTTGAGGAGATTGCTGATAAACATATTTAAAATGTATCTAAAATGATTTTTTAAAAATTAACCACTTTTGGGGTATCTGGATAGCTCAGTGAGTTGAGCATCAGGCTCTTGATTTTGACTGGTGGTCTCATGGTTTTGGGATCGAGCCCCACATTGAGTTCAGCATAAAGTCTGCATGGGATTCTCCCTCTCCCTCCCCCCACTGTGTGTGTGTGTCTCTCTCTCTCAAATAAATAAAATCTTAAAAAAAAAAAAAAAACCTAATCACTTTTTTTCATGGTCATCCTGTTCATCAGTGGCTCATACTGTCCAGTGCAACACAGAATATACCATTGATGCCCAGTTGGTGAAAATATTAAAACCATTAGATGTATACTAGTTTTCATTACCTCCAGGCCATTATTTTTAAATGCTATTAAACATGTTATGTTTTATTATTAAATTAGGCCAGAACAGATTGCTTTTTATGAAAGAGTACTCAAATATCTACATTGGTCTTTTGCTAATAGTTTTCTAAGTATGGGAAGCAACAAATCTCCCATCTTGTTCAAGGGTCAACTGTAGTTTTAAAAGTGACTAAAGTTTAAAGCTGGTGTTAAGGATGAACCTAAGAGGGTGTTCTAGATTGTATATAGTATGTAGTAAGACTTTATGGTTTAGGCATGACTATTCAGTTTGTGCCTTTTGTACCAAGAATTAAAACATATTTCAGGGTGCCTGGGTGGCTCAGTCAGTTGGGCATCTGCCTTTGGCTTGGGTCATATTCCCAGGGTCCTGGGATCGAGTCCTGCATCAGGCTCCCTGTCTGGCAGGAAGCCTGCTTCTCATCTCCCCTTGCTCCTGCTCTCTCTATCCAAAAAAAAAAAAAAAAATTTTTTTTCAGAGATGAAAAGTATTTTAATCATTATATAAATTTTGAATTATTTCCCATTATTTTCACTTGAGATAACTGATAATTTATTGTATTATAAGGCAATTCATTGCCTTATTTTATTAAGGCAGTTTTGAAACAGTATGAAGTCATTTTCTTTGGCTAATACAGTATGCGTGAAGTATTTCTAAAACCAAACCACTTCATTTCCTCTTACTAGATCTTCTTAAATCTTCCTTTCTGTTAAAGCCACAGTTCTTCAAGATACTCCAGGCTCAAAACTTCAAATACAAAAAATTTGTATCTTTTTGCCTTTTGGAATTCTCCCCAACTCAAATGTCCCTCCTCAGTTATTTATGCAACAAACATTTATTAAGTGGAGTGTTTTTTATTTTGGGGGGGTGGTTTTGGCCAACAATTTTAATGGGGATAAAGACATGATTAATACCCCTTGTCTTCCCATCTTCCCCCAACACTTTTTAAAGCCTAAATAAGAGTAGCTATAATGTTGAGTTCTTTGTGGTGGGGCAAGACAGGTACAGTGTGGAAATAAGCTGTGAGATAAGCAGGTTTCATTATATATAAAGTGGACCAATGCAGGAGCACTCAGCTGTCCTAGGTGAAGAGAACTGTATGTTCCAGGAGCCGTAGGGGGCAGGGAGGAAGAGTCAGCCTTGTTATCTGGACTAGGAGTCATGAGAGATAAGTTGAAAAATTAATCAAAATTTGGGGCTGTCCTTCTACCTCCTACCAAGGAGTTTGAATTTCACCCTAAAAGCAGTATGAAGTCACTATAATGTTTTCATCAAGGAGCAGCACAACCACATTTATTTTTATGAAATAATGACTCTGACCAGTTCATAGAGAATTGACTGGAGAGTCATTCTTAAATCTAGTCAGTTTCCTTACATGCTTTTCTAATTGTTTCATTGCTGATAGTAGAAAGCAAGACATTTCTCAAAAATGACTAAATACCAGGAATATAGACCCTGCACTCAGTAACAAAAGAGGTTTAAATTGAAGGCAGTAGGGAGTTGGGGAAAGTTTAATCTGTATTTATGTTTTGGAAATCTGAAATTGCTCCTTTAAAACCTACTCAGGTTTGCACAGCATTCCTGGGTAGTTAAGAACTGAGTAAAGGCAAGTTGGTGATGGTCAGATCCAGACTGCACACGCCCGGGCTCCTGAGGGTACATGCATGGGTTGTGCCTTTGTTCAAATAGTACTGCAGTCATCTTGAAACAGCTGGTTAGAGGAGGCAAGAAATGTGGCTTTTTATTGGACAAAGGAGAATGAACTGGTGAGGCATCTGACTTTGTGTTATTTTTAAAAAGCAGTTATACCTCAGAAAGATTGGAATAAAATAATTTGATTGACTAGATTTATTGTACACTTCCCTTTTATCCATGGTTTTGCTTTCCACAGTCAACCATAGTCCTGAAGTAAATGATCCTCCTTTTGATACATTGCCAGAAGATCAGTAGTAGCCAGTGCTGCATCACAATGCCTCCATTTGCCTCACAGTTGAATGGTGAAGAGTGAGCACAGTACAAGAAGATATTTTGAGAGAGAGACCAAATTCACATAACTTATTACAATATATTGCTGTAATTGTTTTATTTTATTGCTATTAATCTCATACTGTGCTCATTTGTAAATTATACTTCATCGTAGGTGTGTATGTATAGGAGAAACAGTATATATAGGTTTCAGTACTATCTGTGGTGTTGGGCATCCACTGGGGGTCTTGGAATGTAGTCTGTATTGTACTTTGTAGACCAGAGTGGTTTTTTAAAACCGCATTAAGACATGACTTGTGTGCACCTGAAACTAATGTAACATTGCCAACTATACTTAAGTTAAAAAAAAATTTCACTATCAATTAAAAAAATTCACTAAACTACGCTTCAATTAAAATATCATACCGTTCACTCATTTAAAGTATATAGGTTCAGTGCTGTTCAGTATACTAACAGAATTATGCATGTCGCCACAAGCAACTTTAGAACATTTTCATCACCCTGGAAATAAACCTGACCCCATAACAGTGATTCCCCATCTCCTCTCTAAACTTTCCTACGTGACCATTAATCTTTCTATAAATCTGCTATATTTCATATAAATGGAAATATTTCATATAAATGGAATCATAAAATATGTGGGGTTGTTTTTTTTTTAACATTTATACTCAGCACAGTGCTTTCACAGTTCATCCCTGCTATAGCATGCATGAGTGTTTAGGTTAGTTTTTTTGTAGAATGATACTATATTCTATGATTAATACCACATTTTGTGCATCCTCCGTCTGTTGATGAACAATTGGGCTCTTTCTACTTCGGGAGGTATAATGAACAATGCTCCTGTAAACATTCATGCCCAGGGTTTTCATTTATCTTGGTATATATATAAGAGCCAAACTGCTATTTAACTTTTTGAGGAACTACCAGATTGTTTTCCTGAGCAGTTGTACATTTACATTCCCACAAGCTGTGTACAGCAGTTAAAATTTCTCCACTTCGTTCATCTCATTATTAATACTTAAAATTTGTCTCTTTTAAATTATAGCATGCTGGTGAGTTTGAAGTGGTTATCTCATTGGGGTTTTTGATTTGCATTTTCTTCATGGTATTAAGTATCTTTCCTTGTGCTTAGGCCTCTTCTTTGGAGAAATGTATACTCAGATCTTTTACCCATTTTAAAATTGGGTGGTTTTTTTTTTATTATTATTTACTAAGTTGAAAGAGTTCTTTATAAATACTAGATAGAAGTCTTGTGTGGGATACATCATGCTTTGAAAGTATTTGCTGCCGTTCTGTGGATTGACCATATTGGTTTTTAGAACACTGGCTATATCTGAGAGTAGTGTACTGCAGTGTGTAGGGGAAAACAAATTGCCTCCTCTTTTTCACTATGTGAAGATTTTTTTAGTCTTTATTGACATTTTAAAAGTGCATATGCTTATCAACTCTTGTTTAAAAAACAGTATGAGGTAACTTATAATTATGGCTATAATTAGTTCTAGAAAGAAGTCTTTTGTTAATGATTTAAATTGTGATTTTACCCTTAGGTTTCATTTGCTACTAGTGTTAAAGGTAAAATTGTAACTTGCATGTCCTAGAACTTTTTCACACTATATTCGGCATCTCTTGGCAAGGATTGCAGTCTCACTTGTATTCTCACTTGTGTTCCTGATTAGCTTTCTCCCTTATATGACTAACTATCTGAATTTCAAGTTCCAGAAGTTTTAGAACTTAAAATCCTAGCATTCTTGTTAGGTTTTTGTTTTTAAATCCTAGCATTTTATTGCCTGTGGAATAGAATAGCATTTTTGTCTTCCTCACATGTACTAGCTTTGTTGTTCTAGCCAGCTGACACTGAGTTACAGGGTACCTAAAAGAATTGCTTGAGGGTAAGAATTCTGATTATTTGCTAATGTAAGAACATTGTTCTTACTGGAGTTGGTCTAGGGTGGTAGAAGAAGGGCTGGGCTAAAATCGGCCCCAAGAGTATGGGATGATAATCTGTGGGGTCATTTTACCTGGGACCACCCCATTACCTTAATAGTTTGCTTCTTAATGTTGTGGACTGTTGTTTGAATTC